ACCAACCTGCCATAGTCGTGCAAGGGAAGTTTTCACATAAGCTGCCCTAAGAGGTGAGCCTCTCAAAGATCTAAATACCAGAAGGTATCTAAACCAAAAAGTTTGGACAAAGGTAGCTCATCTATACAAAATATAGAACTTGCTCGAAAGTGCTGGAGGGGGTCGACACAATTGTTCTCATAGGGAATCAATACGGAAATGGCTAAGAAGAGATTTTGTTCGGGAGTATTAGACCTATATTGAGACACAAAGCTGAAGCAAATCAAGAGGTGCTCAGAAATGCCAAAAATGTTGCACTCAGAGGTATCAGAGCTAATAAAAATGGTCTCAAAGAAAACAAAACTCAATGGTAGCGGAGAAAAGTTCCTGGCGGTTTTGAAGCAAAGGACTGAGTTCATCAATGAACACTCATCCCTCGGAGGATCATTGGTACCGAGTAGAAATACTCAGAAGTATCGAGGAAGTGAAAAATACATTTGAGTGGAAGGAGTGAAAGTCTCAGGGATTTGATTTAGGATAATACAATAAAGAGCTCAACCCTAGTTAATTTGCATCTTCCCTGCTCGATAACTTGAAGTATATATGGTTGTTCCTTAACTCAAAGTAAAATAAACTTGAAAAGGTATTAGGGCAGTCTCACTGCTCCACCTTTGGACTATATCTTAATCATGATACATAAGCAAAAATCCGATGTGGCATCTTATTCAATGAGGAAAGGAAGGGTTGTCATATCTTATCTCAATATAACTCTTAGCACTAAAAGCAAGATAAGTTATATTTTCTCTCACACAAAACACATTAAATGAGAGCCCTTGTAGATACAACAATAAGATACTAATACAATCTATTAATATATGGTAGATTGTGGGTTGGCACCCCTCAGTTCGTGTCACATGTTTCAACCCGTGATTGTTAATATATGGTAGATCGTTGGTTGGCACCACTCAATCCGAAGGAGGAAAGACATATCCATGTCTACATGGCTAAATGCTTTTACGCGTGCACCGAGCCCGAATCTTGATAATATCTTTGCTATAAGATAAAAGGAACATTTGTGTATGCCCCACTTGATAGTATGGTTGTCCTTAACCCAATGTGAGATAAACTTGAAATTGTATTAGGGTAGTCTCAGTGGTCCACCATGGATTATATCTTAATCATGACATATAAGCAAAAATCCATGTGTCATCTTATTTAATGAGAAAAGAGAATGTTGTCATATATTAATTTTGAATAACTCTTAGCACTAAAACCAAGACAAGTTATACCTTTTGCTCGCAGAACACACTAAATAAAAACTCTTGTAGATACAACAATATGACACTAGTACAACCTGTTATCTAAGTTCGTATTTAATGTATGTCATATACTAGCCAAAAGATATAGTGTGTTGGTAGTGTCCTTAGTCCTTTTAGCTGCCTTGTCATTAATTGGAAAATCCAACAGGGATATAAGACGCACTTTCAAGCTTTCATGCATGTCACATGTTTCCGCATGTGATTGTTAAGATATGGTAGATTGCAGGTTGGCCCTCCTCAATCTGATGGAGGGAAGACATATCCATGTATACGTGCCTGGATGCTTTTTCGTGTGCACCAAGCCTGAATATTTGATACTCCCTCCTTTCCGATTTATAAGGTTCAATTCAAAAATCTCACCAACCAAGGTGGATGATGAGTGATGGAATATTTTTTGTAGTTTGCAAAAGCACCCAATTAATGCTCTTGTTTTCTTCAAAAAATTATGTTTACGAATGCATTAATTGCAATACATGCATGCATAAAGTGCATGCATTGGTCAGTTTTCTCTTAATACTTGCATGCAATGATTTAATGCACCTTGAAGTCTGAACATGTGATGAGAAACAACCAAATTGAGCCTTATAAAATGGAAAAACTAAAATTTTGAGATAAGCCCTATAAACCGGAAAGGAGGGAGTAATATCTCCCACTTGATAGTATGGTTGTCCTTAACCCAATGTGAGATAATTTTGAAAAGGTACTCCCTCCCTTGTGATTTAGAGGGTCTATCTCAATTTTTTTTGTTAGCCTCATTTTTATTGATCCCCATCAAATGTTCAAATTTTGAGGCACATTAAATCGTTGCATGCAAGGAGAGAAAACTCATTAGTGCATGTAAGGCCCTCCCCAATGCTCCACCTTGTACATGTGCTAAGGCTGCCATGTAGGCAAAAAATTTGATGTGGCAAGGTAATAAAGAGGAGAGAGGTGAGTTTGGTGACCCCAGGAAAAACCAATGCCAAGCACGCGAACCTAGGCAAAAGCAATTAAATGAAAGAAATCCACCAATGCATGGAATAGTTTAGTTGCTAATACATTAAATAAGGGGAGCTTAGCACCAACAAGTGAAGCACCTATGTGTTGTGGACATTAGTTGCTAAACTTTTTAATATGCTTAACGCCTTATCTAAGCACCTATGCATTGGAAGTGGCCTAAAAGACCTTGGTCGTCACTCATGCATGCATTGCAATTAATCCATCGGCAAACATGATTTTTTTTGACTAAAACGAGAACACTAATTGAGTATTTTTGCAAACTAAAAAAATCATTCGATCACTCACCATCTGCCTTGGTTAGGGTAGCCTCATTGCTCCACCTTGGACTATATCTTAATCATGGCACATAAGCAAAAATTGGATGTGTCTTCTTATTTAATGAGGAAAGAGGGTGTTGTCATATTTTATCTCGGTATAAAGCACTAAAACCAAGACAAGTTATATTTCTCTCTCGCAAAACACATTAACTGAGAGATCTTGTAGAAACAACGATAAGGGCACTCCCAATGCTTGGCTCTTGACAAGTTATCATAGGCAAAATGCCGATGTGGCACTATAATTAAAGAAGAAAGAGAGTGCAGTTGTATCTCAGCTAAGGCTGCCCGTAATGGGAGTATCATAGGTAGTATCATGTGTGCCAACTTATCATATCATGATACTGTATCATATTAAATGATGTGCTACTTTGTGTCATGCATGGCAATAAATATAGTCCTCTATGATATCAACATATGATACTCCCTCCGTCACAGTATACAAGTCCTACGCGTATATCTAGGTCGTCAATTTTATCATCCTAATATAAACTATATAACACAAAAATTATACCTTTTGAAAGTAGAACATTTGAAGTTTATATTGGTATATTTTTTGTAATATATGACTTGTATTAGGTTGGTCAAATTGACGACCTAGAGGTACGCACACGCCCTGTAAACTGAGAGAGAGGGAGTACTATGCATTACAGATATAGTATCATGGACTAGTATCATATACATGATACTAGTATATGATACTCCCCATTACAACCAGCCTAAGATACGACTCTTAGCTCATTTTTTTCTGCGCAGTGTAATTAATGCTCTGATCTTTTGTGGCATATCTCCTTATTTTTCTCTTTCTTTCTTCTTCCCATAACTAGACCACAATGCTGAGATGAAGAAATGATCCTTAATAAACTAATTAAATGCAATATCACTTAGATACGACTCCAAAGATACAATACATTGTGGTGATTTTTTCTCTCTCTACCTAGAATGGTGGGTTAAGATACAATGCATTGGGCCGCTAAAAAAAGATAGTACAATGCATTTAGGAGAGCCCAATCTGTACAATCTGTAGCTAAGTTCATATTTAATGCATATGATTATGTCTCAAAAAAAATTAACGCATATGATATATAGCCTTTGGACTGTCCTTAGTTCTTTTAATTGCCCTATCATTAATTACCAAATCCAATAGGGGTATAAGACGCACTTTCAAAGGTAGATCGTGTGTTGGCACCCCTCAAACCAGAGGAAGAAAGAAAGACCTATCCATGTCTACGTGTCTGCTTTTCTCGCGTGCAGCGAACTGCGAACCTGAATCTTGATAACATTTCTGTTCTATGTAAGATAAGAAGATCAGTTGCTCTGTTGATTTGTTACTGATGAATTTCTGTTGTAATTTCCTGAATTTTGGTTGTGGTCTGTTTATAGGTATGCCAAATGTAGCACGCCTGTCTGTCATGTCTGAAGTTCAACATTCCCAATGATTCCCACTCGCGCAAGACATTGTGGATATTTGCTCTCCCAATGAATAAGCATTACAATGCACACATTCAGGTCACACTGAAGAGTCTAATGAGACCCTGTACCTGAATACTTCTATTTGTGTTGTTCTTCAGCCAGAACTATACCTAGCTCTGCAATCATCTGTAATTCATAATCATAAATCAAACTAGACCTAGCTCACCCGCTGTCATTGCTCTGTGCTAAACAATCTCAGTAAACACATTTCCTACTTGTTGAAGAGCCACTTGAGTCCAAGCTTCGGGAGCCCGAGCCACTCGCCGAGAGCTGGAGGATCCACAAATTTCAGGCTAATCTTGGAGATCCACTCGAAGAGAGGAGGCCCCAAGAACCTGACGAATTTCTTCGCCAAGAAGCATCTCCATGATCCGCAGCTCGCGCTCGGTATCAAGAACCCGGCCTGCAAGAAGGAGCACGCACGATTCGGTCAGAACTCTGAACCAGATTCAGATGATGTTCTTGGTTCTTGCAGTCACCAATGCAGGAGAAGAGCATGGCCGTTTACAGATCGCAGCACGAGCCAGGAGTGCAGGGGTGTAGCGACGTACCACGAGGCGAAGCGCCGCGACGGAAGCCGCGGCGACGGCGAGCGCGGCGACGGAGCACAGCGCCACCGTCGTCGCCGGCCGCATCAAAGCTCGATCCTTCTGCTCGCAAAGAGGAACAAGAATGTCAGACTAAGCAACTGGATACACTAACCGAGTAATTAGAGCCATTATCTTGGACGAACCAGCAGAGAGGGGATCGCCTGAGAGCGAGAACCCGGCTTGGCCACCGCGGCGGCGCGCGGCGGCTTCTTGCGGCGCCAAATGCAGGGGAGCCCGGTCCGCAGGGAGCGGAGGAGCTTGAGGCCGCGCGGCTTCTTGTCGGGATCTGCGGGCGCGGGCGCGGGCGCGCGGCCGCACTGGGAGGTGACGGCGAGGCGGAGGCGGCGGCGGAGGCGGAGGAGGAAGGAGAGGCGCTCGCCGCCGTGGCCCCAGCCGGGGAGAATGTTCTCTGCGGCGGCGCGGATCTCCAGCCCGCCGCGGTAAGTAAGGCACGCGGTGACCGACCACGTCGCCGGCGGCGACGCCATTGCGGGGTGGTTCGAAGTTCGAACGCTCTCTCTCCCTGTGTGACTCTGACCGGTGGTGCCCTCGCTCGCTCGCTCAGATGGAGCGTGAAGAGTAGTTGGGCCCGGACACGAAAACGACCCCAGAGTTTTTTTTAGGGAAACGAACTGATTCTCAAAAATAAGTTCGAAAAGAACTGATTTCTCTCAAAACAAAAGTTCGAAAAGAACCGAGGCGTATTTAACTTATATTTTATTTTTTGTGGAAAAATGCTGTATATTCATTATTTTAGAGAAAATCGGGTGTATTATTCTTATTCAGGAATTATTATTATTAAACATCATGAACATTTCTAAAATTTCCAACATTTTAAAATTCATGAACATTTATAAAATTCATGTCATTTTTCATTGGGAAACCGACAAAAAACAGGCTGAAATATAATGAGCGAAACCGGCTGAAAACCGACGAGGTGACTGACCACATTGGCGACCCCATTGCAGGGTGGCTCGAAGTTCCAACGCTTTCTCTCCCTCTGTGACCGGTGCCTTCACTCGCTCAGATGGAGCATGAAGAATAGTTTGGCCCGGACACGAAAACGACCCCAAAGTTCGAAAAGAACTCGAGGCTATTTTCCTTATATTTTATTTTTTGGAAAAGTGGTGTATTAATTATCCTAGGAAAAACTGGTGTAATAATTTTTTTACTATATTTATTATCCTCGGCAAAACAAATTGTCATTAAAAACGTTTGATTTTTCATGGTCAAAAATCCGAGTGAGATTTGTAGTGAAGTCTTGTTTGTTGAAATATTTTTCTTGTGTCTTTTTGCTGCAGTAAATCTTCACCCACTGAATTTTTTAGGACACGAGGGCATCAGCTGCACATGTTTAGGTATGATGTGCGCATCCAGTGATTTAGAATCCACCATGCACTTGATCCATTCAGTCATGTCTTGAGCCAACCTTGCAATCTTATTAATGTCCTCT